GGCTAATTTAAATGTTGGCAGCTTTACCCTGAGCAGTCCGTTCCCACCGACCATGTGCCGCTTGGATCCGAGAGAAGTTCAAGGATGAGTTTGCAACGGAGGAAGCGACGAAAGAAATGGAGGAGCTGAAAACTCAGCAGCAGCATCAGCAGCAGCAGCAGCATCAGCAGCAGCATCAGCAGCAGCTTGACACAACAGAGAAACCTGGTGTACCGAACATCACTTTCTCGAGCTCCATGTCAGACTACATACTGAGGGACGAGAATGGCATATCATTGAACACTTCCAAGTTGAAGGAGATGGACATGAAGTTCGAAGAAAGGGAGAGGGAGTTGTTCTCCGAAGCAGAGCAGTACGAGAACCCAGCACAGAAGGAGGGAGATTTGACGAGAGAAGAGATCTTGGAATACGTCGAGAACAGCCTTCCTCCCGCCATCCAGCAGGCGGTCAAAGAGATGGGACTCTTTGACAAGCCGTTGAACACCGGCGAGAGCGATGGCCGTGAGGGCGAGCATGACAATCTCAAGTCCATGAAGGAGCTGTTGAGGGTTGCGATAGAGGAGAGCGCTCGAAAAAAATTGTCAGACCAGCAGCTCAAAGCTCGGAGGTCGCTGGGAGAGAAGTTTTTCAACCTCAAGGAAGATGAAGCTCCGATGGGATTTGCGAACATTGACGTGAGGGGCATGTGAAACTGATGATAGAGATGGAGATGATGATGGAGATGATGATGGAGAAAGAGAAGAAGAAGATGACGAAGAGAAGAAGAAGATGACGATGCGGAGGACGAGGATGGGGATGATGATGGATATGGCGATGATCGAGATGATGATGATGATGATCATGCTTATGATTGTGATGTCACGACATGGTTGGAGTGTAGTTGTTTGCATGTTTGTCGTTCTTGCTCCTCTTACCTTTCGAGCAGTACTTGGCGAAAAATTTCAAAAAGACATCTGACATCTTCAACTCTCAAATTCCGTTCGATCCAAGCAACATCGCTGCTCCTTTCTTGCTGGATCTTGAAGACGATGAGGAAGTGGTCCGAAAGAAAGCAGAAGAATTCCAGAAAGAGATATCTTCCGAGGAGGAGGAGGGTATGCCGGATGATGACGAAGATGGGAAAGTTAAGGAGACAGCGGAGGAGAGGACAGTAAAGGAGCAAGCAAAGGGGAAGGAGGAGAAGGATGATGATGATGATGATGATGATGATGAGGAGGATGAAGAGGTGGTAAATCAAAGGATCCTAGACAAGGTCCTGAGACCGAGGAACCGAGGTCGGCCGAAAGCATACGAGGTGGACGATGTCTACAAGAGCATGAAGGAGGAGGAAGAGGAGAAAAAGAGGAAGCAGGAGGGAGTCAAGCTGAGAGAGGGAGGGAACAGGCCCGAGATGGAAAATTCTGAAGAAACAAACGTGGACGCTCGAGAGGTGACGGAGATGATGATCGAGGGATGATGATGATGATGATGGAGATGATGGTGGAGGAGATGGTGTAGGAGATGATGATGATGATGGAGATGATGGAGATGATGATGATGATGATGATGATGGAGATGATGATGATGGAGATGATGATGGAGATGATGATGAGATAGCTATGGTGATGATGAACATATTGGAGGGAGGTTGGAGGTGGAGGTGCTGTTAATGGTCAAGTTGAGACGTCAATGACATCTGATTGACAGATGATATGGAAATTGGTCGCCGATGAAGTAAAAGAAGAAAAAGAAGAGCAGAAACATCAGTATGACAACATCTGGGAGGCAAGACAATAGTTTCCTCATCGTCGCTTGTTTGTTTGATCAATGTTGTGCAACAGGCGCTGAACATCAAACCTGGAGCGTCTGATGAAGAGATTCTAAAAGGTGAAAACAGAGACCCCTTCGTTTTCCAAGATTTCCAATCCGTTGTTATGGAGATCTCATTCACGTCTTGTTGTCATGAGCAATTTCAAACTCTTGTTCTCGTGTTTGATTTCAATCTTGTTATGAGTAGTTCCAACGCTTGTTGTCATGAGTACTTCCTTTCTCTTGTCATCGTTTGCTTTCATCGCTTTCAAAGACGGAGGTTGAACGTTTCTTCCCAGCATTCGAGAAGAAGAAGGCGATGTTGGGGCTTGGCGCGGAGGGTCGGGCCAGCCAAACCGCGCAAGTTGAACAGGATTCAGGAGAGTTGGAGGATGTGGAGAAGGAGCAGCGAGGGAGTGATGAGGATCCGGAGCAGAAACTCTTTGACGTGATTCAAACCAACATGTCCTGTTGTGTCCTCTAATGCCGTGCAGTTGCAATCTGTCATCAAGGGAGGGACGGTGCCTCGTTGGATGGAGAAGAAGGTGAAGCGATGTTCTAGTTGCTCTTACCCCGGATGCTCAAACATACCCAGGAGGAGGAGGACAACTGGGAGGATGGGACAGCTCTGAACGAGCTGATTGGTTTGTTGCAACCGCCTCCCCTCTAAGTCGATGTATGAAAATCTGGTGCAGGAGAGAGGAACAAGCTCGGGTTGCCCAAGAACTTTGACTCCGATGACGTTTCCAGGTTTGTGCTTTCACATTTCCCTCCTCGTTGTCATTTTACTCCCCCTCCCTCCTGTTGCTCCTCTTCCTCCTTTCCACCTCCTCGTCCTTTGCCTGTTTCTCCTCTTCTCCCCTTATTCTCCATTGTCTCTCGCCTCCTCCTCCTCCTCCTCCTCCTCCTCCAAGCTGTCGCCCTCCTGCTCTCCCTCCCCTGAGCCGTTGGCACAGCGGAGCATCTCATCAAGGTAGGGCAAGACCAGGGCATCGCTCCCGTGGTGGAGCTGCTGCGATCGGCAGAGGAGACGGCCCAGCAAGGAGCAGCAGCAGCACTATGGTCTCTCTCGGTGACCACCGAGAACAAGATCAAGATCGTGGAGAGGGGCGGCCTCCCCCTCCTCATTCGCATGCTGCGAAGTGCCGACGAAGGGAGCCAGGAGCAGGTGCGTGCATGACTGGCAGCGACATCGGAGTTGACAACTGCTGGCAGGCTGCTGGGTGTTTGTACTCGCTCTCGGTGCTTGCAGAGAACAAGCTCAGCATCGTGCAGGAGGGAGGGCTCTCTCCGCTCATAGGGCTGCTGAACTCCCCCAACCCGGAGGTATCGAAGCAAGCATGTGGGTGTATCAGGAACCTTGCCG